CGCCCCGCCCACCCCGCCTCCCTCTGCGGCGCTCCCCGAGACCGAGGCCCCGCCCCCGAGGCCCGCAGCGCCGGGCCCCGCCCAGGAGGCGGTGGCTCCGCCCACCCCCGCTCTAGGCTGCTTTCTGGGCTGGGTGGACCGGCTGTCTGCAGCTCTGGCTCCGCCTGGCTCCCGGCTGGACCACGCCCTCTCCCGCGCCGAGTCCCGCCGCCCGGCCCGGCTCCGATTCTTTGCCTGGGGACACGGACCGCAGAGCTGCACCAGGCCCGCGGTTAGCTGGAACCGCCGCAGAGCCAGCCCGGCCCCTTAAAGGGGCCGGCAGCCGGCGCAGCGCACGTTTCCCTGTTAGAGTGCCCCTGCCCCCACATCCTCTCACAAGGAGGCTCCGCTCCGGCTCCCTACTCGGATTCCCCCGGCCCCAAATTCCCGCGGGGTGTCCCGGAAGGGCTGGGGAACCATAGGGTACGAAGGTGCATCCGCCCCCCACCCCCACTCCAACTTGGGGCGGCCTAGATCGACCTTCCCAGGATAAGGCAGCGCTTCCGCTGGCACGTACCCCACGCGGTGGACCAGGGCGGGCTTCTGCACCGCTTGCCCCCGCCTATGGGCACGAGTTCGTCGTCCCAAGATCGACCTGGGCACTGGCGAGCTGCTGGTCCCCGGGTCCACTGAGGAGCCCAGCCGAGTGGGGGACGGCGGAGGTGGGGGGGGAGACTGAGCGAAGACCCTCCCGGAAAATGACATCCGAAAGCCTCAGCCTTGGGCTGCTGCTGTTTCCGGCCCTGAACGAGACCACCTTTCCACCTCTGCACACTCGCGCGCAGAGATGCAGGGCGCCCCACGCCTGGGGTGCATTTCATCCAACTGTTTAGGGGGCAGCAAGGGGGTGGAACCAGTGTGAAGGGCGGAGCCAACCCGAGAATTCAATTCATTCAGTCTTTTCTACCACCCTAAAGAACGAGCTCTCCAGCCTCCTGCGGTCTCTTGAACCAGTTTGCAAATATCTGTCATCATTTTCTTAATGCTAATAATGGCTCCCCTTATTGAGTGCTTCCTATATGTCAGGTGCCAAACTTAGTTCTTATCTCCATTTTACAGAGAAGATCGCTGAGACCAGAGGAGCAACAAGCCATCTCCAAAAGCGCCTGCTGTAACCGGCAATCCTACCCTGCTGGGCTCCTGTGCATTTTCCCACTTGATCCTCTCCATAAACCTCAGAGGGGAGGTGGCCCACACCTTTGAACGCCTGTGGCTTACACTGTGTACCCTTAACCAGACATGTGGCATGTTCCAGATTCTTCCAGCTGCATTTTTTGAATTGCAATTTAATTTTGTCTCATTAACTTTTGTGTTTTGTCTCGTTGTGCGTAAGCTTGAGGGCAGGTACCCTGTCTTACAGGGACAATGGTTTGGTGTCCTCAGCGACAAAAGAGACACAAAGGGGGCGCGGGCTCATTCCGGGATGAGGTTGTGGCTGTTGTGTTAACCTGCTGCTTTTGATTTGGTCATAAGAGCAAAAACCCTCCCCACGTTTCCTTCCCTCAACCGCAGCTCCTTGCTCCCTGCCAAAATGGTCTCACCTTGACAACACTCAGCACCGAAACTCACCTGTCTTGAAACCTCTCTCTGCTTCACCCAACCCAGCGTGGTCAGTTTTCTTTGCTCTGTTCTCTCAGCTCTTGGTGATTTTGTTTATCTAATCTAAAGAATCAAGACCCCTTGGCCTTAAAGCAGGAGTTTGAGACCCCCTCCCCCAAGGAGGCTGAGGATAGAATTCATGACACTGGGATGGGCAAAAGTTATATCTTTATTTTCATTAATCTCTAAATGGTATTTAGCATCTTCTTTGACCGTGAGTGCAGGCAACCGGTAGAAGTCCCTGTGATTTGTCACTAAGGGAAGTCAAAGATCTTTTCATATCGATATTACAGTTACTGTACATATTTCAAAATATGATTTAAGCTACCAGAACTCTAAAATGAAGATCATACTAGACCCACCACTAAATCTTATTGGTGTGTTAGTGAAGAAGCACTATATCACAAACTGGTTCAAATTTTTTGTGATTGTATTTTAGTAAAAATTGTTTTATTATCCTAACGCCATTTTTTTTTTTATTTAAGTATTCTTAGGGCTTCTGGGTGGCTCAGTTGGTTTGAGCATCCAACTCTTGATTTTGAGTCTTGATCTCAGGTCATGATCCCAGGGTCATGGGATCAAGCCCTGTGTCAGGCACACGGAGCCTGATGGGGATTCTGTCTCTCTCTTCCTCTGTCCCTCTCCCCTGCTCCTGCTCTCTGTCTCTCTGACTCTCTGTCTCTCTCTCTAAAATAAAATTTACAAAAATTATTCTGAAAAGAGGTCCATAGGCTTTACCAGATGCTCAAGGGGCCTGTGGGACGGAAAGGGTTAAAAAGCCACACCTGGGGAGTGGCTCCCTGCAGCCTGTTCCAGAAAGAATATGTCCTACCAGCAGCATTGTCCTGGAGTTGGGGTGTCGGGGGCACCCAGCCCTGTCCTGGGCGCTGGAGAGATTCAGACATTCTATGATCATTAACTGACCCCTTGCGTCAGCACAGGCTCTCCGCTTATCAGAAGGCAAGAGTTTAAGGAATGCCGGGAAAGCTAATGAAGGCTACCAGAAAGACCCTCCTGAGGCATGGGAGGGGTGTGAGAAGGGACACTTGGCCTGGAGGAGTAGAGAACCAGAAGATCTGAAGGAAATGGAGGAAATCGTACCCAAAGGGATTTCCAACTCAGCCGTAGAAATATACATACAAACAAAATGGCTAGAAGATAGTGCTGTGGCCATCAAGGAGCCAAAGTGAGATGTTGTGTGTCTTGCTTTTTATGGGTAAGATGAGAGGGGAGGCTAACCTGATGTCCTTCCAGTAGAGTGACCAACTGTCTTCATTTGCCCAGGACCCAGGGTTCCCCTTGATGCAGGACTTTCAATGCTAAAACCAGAAAGTTTCAGAGAAACCGAAACAAGCCCTTATAGCTCTGGCGACTTCTCAGGCCAGAAGTCTTGGTCATCAATGTCAGCCAGATGGGGCTCAGGAAGAAGCCAGCCTAGGGGTGCCTGTGTGGCTCAGTCGGTTGACTCAGGTCAAAATCTCACGGTTCGGGATGACAGCTCAGAGCCTGGAGCCTGCTTCAGATTCTGTCTCTCTCTCTCTCTCTCTCTCTCTCTCTCTCTCTCTCTGCCCCTCCCCTGCCCATGCTCTGTCTCTGTTTCTCTCTCAAAAATGAATCAATATTTTTTAAAAATTAAAAAAAAAAAAACAGGGTGCCTGGGTGGCTCAGTCGCTTAAGCATCCGACTTCGGCTCAGGTCATGATCTCACAGTCTGTGAGTTCGAGCCCTGCATCGGGCTCTGTGCCGACAGCTCAGAGCCTGGAGCCTGCTTCAGATTCTGTGTCTCCCTCTCTCTCTGCCCCTCCCCTGCTCATGCTCTGTCTCTCTCTGTCTCAAAAACAAATAAGAACATTTAAAAAATTTCTTTTTAATTAAAAAAAAGAAAAGAAGCCAGTCCAGTGTTCCCAATTTACAGACAATAGCATCAAGGTCCAGAGAGGGGTAGGGACTAGCCCAAGGTCACCCGAAAAAAAATTGGTGGCAAAACCTGGCCTAGAATTCTGGTCCTACCCTCTGTCCACTGTTCAGCCCTCCCCCAAGCTTCTCAGTGAGGTCAGTGTTTCCATCCGTTCAACCCTGGACACCCTCACCTCCCCATCCATCATCCAGAGAGAACGCAGGTGACTCTTCACTGGGTGGGGGGATCACTCAGACAGACAAAAGGAATATCCCCAAGAGGGATGCCAGCCTCCACTCTCTGAATAAGGATGGGTTTTCTCCTCAGTGAGGATGGGCATGACTTCA